TTAGCGAATCCAATGAAACGCTGGAGTTCGTTGACGCTCCGGGGCGCTGGCCACTCAGCAACGGCTTTGACTTTAGTCGGGTCCATTCGGATCTTATTGCGAGATATAATTAATCCTAAGTACTCAACTTCTGATCGTGAGAATTCACACTTTTCCGGTTTGAGCCATAGTTGTTGTTTATCTAGGATGTCTAAGACTTGAAAGACAGATTCTTGATGTTTCATTCCCTTCTTTGTATATACCATGATATCATCCAAAAAGGCCGCAGTGTCTTTACCAATGTGTGCGCGTAAGATGTCCTGTATGAAGTACTGGAAATAGCCGGGTGCTCCCGTTGGGCCGAATGGCATTGTCAACGGTGCAAACTGGCCCGCTTTGCAGATGAACGCAAGGATCTCTTCATAGCCTTCAGCTACGCGTAGATTTCCGTATGCGTTCCGCATGTCTAGTTTAGTGAATTCGTCAGCGTCCAGTAGACTATCCACTAGGTCCATTGTTAACGGTAATGGATATTTGTTTTTGACCGTTAATGCGTTCAACTTGCGATAGTCAAAACAGGGTCTCAAGTTCCCGTCTTTTTTTCCAGTGAATAATACTGGCGCCGCCCACGGTGAAGTTGTGCGTTGTATCGTGCCGTTGGCAAGGCCCGCGTTGATCATTTCATCTAAAGCGGCGTTTTCAGCTGGCGAGAGCGGGATGATGCGGCTAGCTTGGGGTTGCGCGTCTTTGATCAGTTCGACTTTGAAGTCGTACTTCCGTCGGGGAGGTAAGCATTGAGCTTTTGACTTCTGAAACATATGAAGGTACCTGTGATACATTGTTGGTACTAAGTCCTCTACGGTTTTAGTCAGTTGGTTCTTCTTCTTGTCTGCTGCGAGTCGTGCTGAGGTGGACCAGGAAGTATTTGCGGCGTCGACTGCTACCGTTAGGCTGTCATTCAAAGGAGAATTTTGCTTGCTAGCTGTTTCGGGTAAAGCATGAGAGTGTAAGATATCGAACTCACGTTGCGGGGGCGTTAGTGTACTTGAAAAAATACACGCCCCCTCGTCATCATTCCTAGCGTGCCCTGTGGGCTCCTCCATTGGACCTGCAGGGGTTTGTGGCAGACGTGACGAGGCTGGATTAACAGCCGCAACCTGATTCGTCTCTGGTGTGGTTTTGGTAACTGATAAGCCTACTGTTGTAATGGCGTCGTCTTGCGTCGTACTGTCTATAAATTCGGGCGGCGTGGGTGTGTCTAACTGTTGTTGTAGTAGGGGAAAAAGCTTGTCTTCCGCTTCTAACAATGACGGTGATTTAAAAAAAATACAAGACTCACTCTGCGGGGATGCTAATGTACTAGTATTAGTACAAATCCCCTCGTCACGGTACCTAGTGTCCCTCCAAAGTTCCGTCCTGGGACCCAAAGAGGGGTTTGTCGGCGTTGACGACTCCACATCAGTGAAGGCAGTGAAAACTTCAGCAACATCTATGTTGCCGGTCTTCCAGTCGATTTTCCGGTGGTTTGCTCGAATCCAGGGCATTCCAAGAATGCCATCATAGGTGTTCTTGAGGCTCGTGATGATGAAATTGGTTGGGTATGAGTCGTGGTCAATGAATAAGTTCAATTTGTGTGAAGATTTGGCTTTGGATCCGTTAAAACCGGTGATATCTCTTGATGTGCTCACTCCGTGTCGTAACAGGTCTCTCTCTGAGGCAAAGGCTTCCCCCAAAACATTGTGAGTGGCACCTGAGTCAATCAAGAGTCGGGTGGTGGGTCTAAAAAATGGTGTGGCGCGAGGTCTTTGGGTCAAGGAAAGTGAAGCTGTCAGAAACAAACGTGGATCACTGTTATTGCAAGGTACAACTCCACTCGCTCCTATTCCTATTGAATCATCCAAAGCCTCTAAGCTCAAGCTAGGCACAACCTTCAGGCTTGAGCGCCTCCATTTTTTGAAATATCACTACGACTGCCACCCTCCATTTGATCTCCAATCACACTCTCCTTCCCACTCATGGCTGCTAATTTGATTTCCAGCTCGGCAACTCTAGCACGATAATCCACCCTTCCTTTCCCTTTCCTCTCACCGCTTTTGGTCGGGCAGTCACTAGCAATGTGGCCTTGTTTTGCACAATGAAAGCATGATCCGGTTCGTAGACGTCGAGCACGTTTGTCAGGAGAGAGTCGGGTGTAAGAGGACGAAATGTCCATAGCATTCGGGTCACGTGCGGGAGTGGCCGTGTGCATGGTTGTGTCAGCTACTCCGTGAAGCTTGTTATCTAATCTGATGGCTAAGTTTGAAATTTGTTCTACTGAAGTAAACTCCTCCTGATTCAATACCATAGCAACTCTAATATCACGTTTCAGTCCCTGTTTGAACTGGCTAATCAGTGTAGGTACCTCCCAACCGGTATTCGTGGCGTGCATGTTAAACTCATAAGTGTAAGCTGCGACCGTTGTCTTTTGAGATAATGACCGTATTGCCTTCTCCGCCTTAGACTTCTTTTCCGTGTCGAAATACATGGCTTTAAAGTTGTTAACAAAACGCTCGAAAGTCACTGTCGCAGATTTGGCATCGTCAAGTAGTTTGTGCATCAATGGCTGGGCCCATGCGCTGGCGGTGCCCGTCAGGTACGGCAACGCAAATACCACCTTGCTAAGATCGGTGGCAAAAAGGTGGGGGTGTGCCAGCATGTAAAGCTGGACTTGGCTTGCAAAAACCTCCGCAGGGCTACCACGGGTACCGTCAAATTTGTCTGGGGTCGAGACTTTAGGCCCCTTAGGGGTATGCGCCACTTCAGGCTGAGTTGGCATGGGTGCCGCTGGTTGGGCAGCAGGTGGTTGGCGAGTATGGCCTGCTTCGATCGCCGCCAAATGTTCTTCGGCCTGCCGGCTTCGCGCCTCAGCTTGCTCTTGTAAGTTACGTTCTCCTGCTAATGCATTCTGCAGCTCGGCGATCTGACGTTGGATATCTTCCATTTTGCCTTTAGTGAGCTCGGTGACAGGTAACGATGGATCTACGTCAACGAAGGGGGTTTCAGTCTCAGAGTCACTGTCCGGATCGTCGGCACTGGGGGTTCTGTACAAAGGAGACGTGGTCGGTTGTGGAGTGCGGGGTTCTGGTGAGTTGAATCTGCAAGGTTCTGGTTCAATCGATCTTGTTCTGGGTAAATCTAATCTATCTAATTTTAATTCTGACTAATCTACTGAATCTTGGTCCTGAAATAGTTCGCTGGTATTTGTGGTGAATCTTCTTCTGCAGACACAAGGTTTCAATCTCAATCAAACAAAGTTTTCTAATCTAATATCGGTAATGTGGTGTATTCTGTTTCTTCTCGATTCCTCGGCGCTCGTCGAAATAAGTAGATCCGACAATATGTTAAGGCCAGTACTGGGGTCTGGGACGAGGGTCAAGGATCTGGTGACAAGTCTATAAAGTAGTTTGTCGGATGAAGAGAAGAGAAACTTGTACAATAGCAATGTGTACAACTAGGGACTCAATCTCTATCCGTGACATGTCTAACCCGTCTTTCACTCGTTGTTACATATGTTATAGGATCATAACAATTTGCTTGGCTCGTTTTCCTTTTTTAGTAATTTTTCTTTCATTACTTGTACAAAAATCAACAAAAGATTTGATTTGGTATATAATTCAAATGATCATGATATATATTCAATTTTATCTTAGCATGTATTATATTGCAATTCAAGCAAATTTCCTTCAATTGAAGATGGCCTTGTAGCTGTTTTTCTACTTCTTGGTCTATGTATTCAGTTTGATTTGATTTGTTTTCTTTGTTTTACTCAGAAAATTTCAAAGGAATTGAATAAAAACATTGAGATTTTAAAGTTGATGATTGTTTACATAGCCAGAGGAAGCAAGTTTTTCAACAAGTCAAAAGGTGAAATGGATTTGACTACTTTTGTTGTATCAAAATGAGCAATTCTGTGAGTTATCAGCTCTCACAAGTGATTGATCAAGAGAACTGCAAGAAACATGATAGGCTATAGAATTGATCTTTCTTTAACAGCTTTTATCATTTCTTATTGATCTTTGGTCATCAATCCTACTTTACTAAATTGAATATAATTCAATTTGTGGTTGTGAATTCATTTTGTTGCTTTGTTTGATTCTGTTGTGTTATGAAAGATGAAAAGGAAATATGTACTCAAAAAATTGGATTGATTATAGAGACATTTACATTTGGTGTCATGTTGTGTCAGTATGGCACTTCCCGGATGGTATGTTGTACGAGATGACTCATGTTACGACACGGTTTTTTTGAATCAAAAATCCATGTCGATGTGTGTCGGTATGAGTCATGTCGGACGGTTTTTGGCTCGGAGATGAATTTTGACCAAACATGACATGAAAAAATTACATGTGGAATCCATGTCATGTTTATATGTCGGTATGAGTCTACACGTATTCCATAGTTCATCTTATAGAGTCGATTTTAGAAAGCTTGACCGAGGTTTGCCCGCAAAATTCAAGCGATTCGGCGTGAAATTCTTGCCAAGCTTTACTGCATAAACACGTGACTCTATTTCCACCATCTTCTTCAGCGTGGGGACCGATGAAAGCCCAAAACAGATGTCGACGACGTCCGCTGGTCAGTGCAGCCCCAAGCATTCTATGTTCAGTTCCGCACCAGTTCCGTGATTTGCATGCTGTCAGCGATATGATTTTTTCGGGCAGGACCGTCTCGTCTCAAATGGGGGCTTTTTGTTGGCTGAGATGGTGGCGCATACGGCGTCCTGTCAATCTCAAGACACAAATATGTAGTTTGATGTGAGTACTGGTGAATACTGGTGAGTCAGTCCACCTGGTTCTGGTATAAAATCCGTTTTCCCCTTGTACGACTCCTGGAGCCTTGAGGAACTACACCCGCACTTACAAGTCACATTCTTTCAGCTACTTTCAAGCAACACCATCATTAACTTTCTAACTTTCACTGTCGTGAATCAACCTACTTTCATTTACATTCCACTTCATAGCTTGGCCAATTCCTTGACAAAGATGTTACTTCTCAATTCAATCTTTTTGGCTGTATTTTTTGCGTTCGGCGCTGACCACGTCTTAGCTGGTAAGTCGTTCGCAAATGCCTACGTTCACGGCGAGCCTGGAATTAAGTCTTGCTCCTTGTCGATTCTCGCAGGTCCAGCTGCCCACCATACGGTTGCTGCTGTGACTCCTCAGGCAGAGTCGATCGTCAGTCGCTTTCAACACGGACTTCTTACAATCACAACCGTCAAAAAGCAACAGCACTTGATGAAGCGCGACGACTCTCTGAGCGCTGCTAATCTCACTGTCGATCTCACGCCTGCTGACCCCTCTCGATGGATGTGCTACACTGGTTGGTATTTCAACTTCTGTAATGCATCTCGTGAAGTTAGCTGACATCCTCAAACCCCAGGTGGATTCCAGGAGCCAGACGGCGAGGACTGCAAGGTTGTCATTCATGCTCAGCTGTACAACTCGACAGGTAGTCTGGCTGCTTTCCCCAGTAAGTTTCTCCTGTTCCTCCTCGCGAACCTACCTGGGTACATCTGATGAGGCCAATCAATTTGTTTACCAGGCACCGTGGTCTATGTCAGTTACAGGACTTGTGCCGTCGTACTGTGAGTGAATATTCATCTAGGTGCATTCAGGGATTTCTTCTCTAACAAGCAATCATTTGACATCTTCAGTCAGAATCTTGACCAGAGAGCCCCTCAGATTCAGGTAACTATCATATTTTGAACTTGTGTTTACTTGAGATGCTTACTCCTCATTTCTCATGATAGTACAACTGGGCTATGCTTGGCAAGGCTGCCCAAAGCTTGTTCAACGCTTGTCTGACCGGCAAGGCATGGAATATTGGTGGAGCTATGTTCTTCGAAAAGTACCTCAACAGAGACTTTAACGGCGTAAGTGATCCATCAAATGATCAATGTCGTCAAGAATCTTCGCTGATACTTTTTTCCTCAGCTCTACATCACGCTCCAGAGATTCGATGATAGTGAGCTTCCTCCACCGGAACCTGCTACAAACGCCAACCCCAAGCCGGTTGGTATGTAGAAATATCGGACCGAACTCATATTTATTGAATGATCCAGATTTTGGTTTCAATCTTCACTTTCTGTTCAGATCCCCATACTTTGCCTTTCCCAAGTATTGTTATTCAACTGTTTATTCTCTTATTTATATCTGGGGCGGGTTTTTGTGCAATTCTTTCCGCTGGGAAAACACTGGAGCCACATGGCTGACTGGAGAATATCACTTGATAGGAGCCAAACTGTTGAGGTCCTCTTCTGAGCGCGATGCAGGACAGAAGGCTTTAATGTCCAGAATTCACCTCATGAAGCCCTGATGTCCTGATCCAATGACTATAATGCATTTCCAAACACCAAGATTCATGGCCTTTGAGTTCCATACTTGAGCCAATATGGACGAATATCAATGCACTAAATATTCTCCGCAGATCCCCACTGCCCTTTTGTCATTTCAAGGACAAATGGAGGTATTGTCTCTCTCTCGAGGTCTTGCAAGAGAGAGGGAAGGGTCATGTTTTGGTATTGTCTTCATGGACAGTCTGTTCCTAGCATGTAGACTTCAGTTTCTCATAAGCTTTAAAAGGGAACTCAAACCTCATTCCCACGGTAACCACTTGACTTGGCTACTAGTCTCTAAACACACAAACTGATACTGCTAAGTACCCCAAACTCCAATTTTCATGTAGTCTGTAGTAATTAAACAAGGGATGTATGTGAGCACTTATCTAACTGAGTTGACATGCAGGACATAGTACACAAGAGGCACCCAGGACTAATCCAACACAAGAAAGTACATAAGATCAAGTAAGAGTTCTGTGAAAACTTGGGATAAGTATTCAACACAAGCTTCATGTGGAGTGGGCAGCTCTATCTTCAAAGCTGCAGGGGCTCTTTCCTAGGGCCTTTGATTGATAGTTTTTTTTGCATTTTTGAGTGAAAATTGGGCATCCAATGCTTAAGTGGTCCCAAGGCCAAAATATCCCATGAGAGATTCAAAGAAGGATCTTGTTCAACAACTCTTGTGTGTGCAACAGAGACATGATTCTTGAAGTCAGTTGAGAAATTAGACCAGCACTACACTTTATCCTACCCATATCAATTCAGATTCAGTAGGGAGAGGTATACAAAACAGTAAACCTATCTAAGTGCCATGCCGACCCAAGCCGGTCACTCCTAGATAAGTTTAAGAAAACAGTATATCTTAATAGGTAGATAATATCACACGGCCTGAAGGGGCTGAAAATGGAAAACCTGCAACAATGACCAATTGCTGATGTAAGATCAGAGGAAGAGATATGTACCAGAGAGAGATGAGCAGAGGTTGAAAGAGTTGACAACAGTGTGGAAAATATCAAGTCTAAACTCAATTGAGGAAAGCCATAGTGGATAGGACGGAGATTCAAAGCTTCCGGTGCTCATCACACAAGTGGTTTATCATGAGTTTTATGTTAATGCAACAATATCATTATTTATTTCAATTTTACATCATATTTGGCAAAATTCATGTAGATACCCAGTTTGCAAAAGAATCACCATCCATGTGTCCTGTATATAGACCTTCTTGACTAACCAATGGTAATTGTTAGGTTTGTTCCAAAGACATACTATTAGCTCTTTGGTTTTCCACGCTTAGTCATGGTGACCTGTAGTGATTCCTTCAGACATCAGCCAGAATCCTGCTTCAGCATGACTACAACCCTTTTGAAGTGTCTCATTGCACTTTGAGATGTAGAGATAAATACATGTAGGTACGACTGTAGCGGAAATTGAAAATGACTACCAGAGTCCTTGCGGTTGATTGATGTGATCAGTTACTAATTCGGGGGCATATTTGAGCCAGGTGGAGTGAGGGTTATTTGTACAAAAGAAAGTGATAGAAAGAAAGTGATAAAAGATGATGAATAGTAGGGAATCGTTTGCGATAAAATTTAAAAGATTGCCTCAACTGCAAGACTATACTCTGTATGTGACCAGCACATAAGCAACCGAATCGCATGGAGTCAACTCTTAGTGATGATTCTTCTCAGAAGAAAAAACTCAGGGTCTTCGTAAGGGATAGTCGTCTATTGAATGGGAATGCAACGTGACTAAGATGAGATTGACATGGAGAACGATTCAGCATCGTGGAACGGTTCCCAGAAGCAGAGAAATTACTCTGCGAACCTTTGTTGTGTGCAGCTTAAAGCCTAGCGACGGCAAAGTCTATAGCTGCTTTCTCGCTGCTCGATCCTGGGTACGATAAGTGAGGGATGATCGAGCCAAACGTTTGACAAACCTCGTCACCTTTTAAGCAGCAATCAAATGTGATCGAGGAAAACTGCGCTGGCATTGTGATACCAGTGGCAGAAGCAATGCCCGATCCGGTTTTCTGTCAACGGAAATCAAGTCATCAGATGAAAAGCTTTACAGAATGAAAAAATCAAAGGCATTTTGGAAATATGTCAAAGAGGTAGGACTGACGGCTGCACACATATTTTGAGGCGCTCCAGATGTGAAAAAGGGATTTCCGTACATCACAATCGCGACAACTGAGTCGGGAGAAATTGACAGGCTTCTCATTGTCTGAGTTACCACCATGGCCTATCACCAGCAATTGAATTTAAAAGTAAGTGATGACTTCAACTTCAAGAACGCGTGATGAAAAAGACAATTCGAAGTCCACTTACACCTTGAGAATATCCAATCAAAACGTAAGTTTGTTCTGGACATTGGCTTTTTTGTTGTGTCAAGAATGAATTTGCTTCTGCGGCTCCTTGGATTGGTCCTCCCGTGAAGTCTGCTGATGCCGGATACACGACCTCGTGGTTTGCACCACCAGGTACAGCAGCCAGAACTCCGTTGATAAAACCACGATTACCTATGGGACGGGCTTGCGTCTCACCCGTACCTCTCGCACTTTGAAGACAACGAAAAGTCAAAAGCAAAGCAATTGTGAATCAAAAACCCAAAATATTCAAGGAAGAAACCGAGAAACTGGAAACGATGTAGGAAGAAGAAGATACAGAATAGACAGCACAAGCCTTACCTGATGATCGTGTAAGTGTTGCATGCGGATCCACCGGCAACTAATGGTTTGGCAATTAAAACTTCTAAGAAGCTAAAGCACGTAGCTAGGATGATTGCAACGTTCATAGAGTTCATTTTATCTTTCTTATGTGAACTGGAAGAATTCTTCCAAAAATTCAAAGAAAAAAATAAAAACCCGCCAGTGAGCTTGGGGCCTCTCATGAATATGAAGAAGAGTTATGATGTGTTTCTATTTGGGCACAAAAAATGTTAGGCACTGTCTTCCACATACCTTTGAGAGATTAAAAACTAACGACTGATGAAGAAATGAGAGATGAGGTAAAGCGCTACAAAATTGGTGTGGAATGCAAATAGCAGAAGATCACTGACCCTTTTATGATGATTTCTTCTCATAACGTGGTTTCATGCGACAGGTTGGCCATTCTCCATTTTTGCAGTGTCTCACTCGAACTGCTCAGCGTAAAACTGCCTTCATTGACAGAGATTCAAATGCTCCCTATGACCAGCACACCATTTCTGGGTCTCGGCGTAGGTTGATGGACGAAACAAGTGAGACATCAGGGGAATGATGTAACAATCAGCTCATTATACTCACCGTGAATGCCCATTATAGAGCTCTTGTTTGTTCTCGCATCACAGAGGGAAGGAACGTACACAAGATAGATGCGCATGTATCTCAGTCCGCTTGAATATAGACATTCTCTCGACGTCGCGTAATACCATTGTTGCGAAAACGAACAAGGAGGAGGAAATATACTGGAAATTGAGGAAATGTAAACAAGTTATCATCGCCTTGTGATTTGGCTTCAGAGGCTCGAGCATTTGAAACAAGTCCCGATGGACCGAGTAAACCGGAGAATTGGGGGGCGACAGCTGGCCCGTACAGCTCGAGAGACTTTGTTACAGCCTGGGCTATGGCCCGGCCCTGAACGTCAGGACGGGCTCCGGGGCTTCGCCTGACCTTGAGTAGACCCGAGGGCCTCCAGAAAGTGCTCAGGGCCAACCAGGGTGCGCCCTGACCTCATTATAGGTGCTCAAACCGGGCAATACAGTGATTATTTTGATTTTGATTGCAAGTTTATGTGTGTGTGATGCTTTGCAGAAGCTATATGAGCCCACGTCAAAATCAAAAAGAGCAACAGGAGGAAATTTAGAAAGAAAGATGCTGTCAATACGGCAAAAATACAGCGGGCCTCGAGCGGCCCGGCCCCGCCCAAGGTACCCGCAGGGCTCCCATTACCTTAATCATGTGTGTCAGGGCACATACTGTGTGCCTCCAGAAACACATCAGGCAGACTCGGCCGGCCGGAGCCGGGGCCGGGTCACAGCGCTAGTTAGAGCATCCACAGTGGTCCCCCAATTGTGTGAGCTCGCAGACAGACCCCCAAGAGTGAATCTCAGATGTAGGGGGTCAAAAAAAGAGACTGTGCACAGCGGAGCACCTACATTTGGGCTCCCACACTCGATCGAGTGATATTGAAATGCTTATACTGAATCATCAACTTTCAATCTCAAAACCCATCCACCCAGACCATCCAAATACAACTATCTACATTCAACATTTCATCTCACCATCAATGGAACCCAACGACCTCATTGCTTTTCTTGACAACCTTTTTGATGACAATGACATTGATGTGGCTGCAGTCCAAACAGTTGCTCAATGGTGCTGTACTAGTCAAGATACTTCTGAAGATAAAAAACCATGTCAAGAAATCAATCGACATTGTCAACTTGCCCCCAAGATCATTTACCGCCAGTGTTTCTCTCCAAATCATTCCTACACAGATTATCAGTTCCAAAACAGGTAATGAGTTGATTGAGTAATTGTTGAAAGGCTTCCGATAGATCTTCAAAACCACAATAATTACTGGATACAGCAATACAATGCCGCCAAACGTCTCAGTCTGTCTCCTCATCAAAAGGTCATGGCAGCTATGCGTCAGATGGCTACTGGTACTTCTGCCGATGGCCAAGACAAGTATATCCAGATCGGCGAGTCAACCGCGCTCAAGTGTCTTAAATTTTTTTTGTCACAACATTGTCAAGCTATACCAGGATGAATACCTGCGCAGGCCAACTGTAGATGACACTCAAAGGTTACTTAATGAAGCTTGAGATTGTGGACTACCAGACATGTTAGGATCAATTGACTGTAGCCACTGGGAGTGGAAGAACTGCCCTACTGCTTGGCACAGACAATATTGAGGCAAAGAGAAGGTGTGTTGGGGTATCCTCAACTGTCCTGCTCACCTATGGAACATGGCCAACTTGCAGCAAATCGTGTATTGTGCAGTCATTTTGCACAATATGCAAGTTGAACAAAACCGCTTGGCTGGCCGTTACAAATGAGAAATTCCTTCTTACCTTGATGACGCACAACCAGCACCAGAACCAACTCCTGACTTGTATGCTGCATTTGAGCACTACCTTACCCAACTTTGCACAATGCGGGATCAACATTGACACCAAGAACTCTTGCGTGATTTGATTGAACATGTTTGGAATCAAAATGGCAAACAGGAAGGGTAGTTGTTTGTCAAACATTCAATTTGATTTTAAATGCTTATTAAGATACATGTTTATTATACATGGTTGTGTGCTCTTCACACAGAACCAAATTTTGGGTGATCAATTTCTCTTTCTTTTCAACTCAACTCAAAAATTTAAGATACAAGTTTATTATGAGTTTCTTTATGACTGATGTCAAAAACTTATAATACAAGTCTAGTTCATTATAAATTTCTTGTTAACTCAAGTCAAAAAATTAAAAGCAAGTTTATTATAAGTGGTTGTATGCTCTTCACACACGCTCAAACTCTTTGTGATCAATTTTTATTTCTTTTTATCTCAAATTTTTTAACTTAAATGTGAATATAAAATTTGAAATACTTGTATGCTCTCCTGGGTGATCTTGGTGTTTCATTCATAAACACAAACTAATTTTTTTTGTTCAATAGGATTCTTATTGTCAAAATGTTAAATATAAATTCAATTGTGAAACAACTTCAAACAAGTTTTGAGAAAAGCAGTAACCAATTCATCATAAGATTGAAATTGAAATTAAAAACAAAGAGAAATTCCACTTTAAAAAGTTGACTAGAGTACTGTAACATATATTTGAATTAAATTACAAATCATATGAAACTACCAGCTAACAAACGAGTTTAAATCTTGCACTACATTTCCTTCTCTTGGTCAACTTCATCCTCATCAGCCTTTTGTGTCTGATAAGGCAAAAAGAAATGCAAATGATCAAAAATACATAAATTGTTGATTTGAATAAACAAAGCACTTACTTCTTTTTGTCTTGCCCAAAATTGTTCCATGACTTGTTTGCAACAGGCGTGCAAATACTCCAATTGAATCTCTTCCAAATTGTCCGGCGGAGTTTGGAACATCAGCTTGTCATCTGATGCTTGACAAGAAGCAGCAGCAGCTTCCTTGGCAATCTGGACTTTAGCTGCAGAAGAACTAGCCAGCTTTGTGATTGCTGCAGCTAATTCATCACCACCGCCAGTTGATTCATTTGGCTTGGCCCCATTGTATTTGCTTGATTTTGACTTTTTACAACCCATTGGCCGTTTGGGTGGTTCTACATTGAGTTTAGAGTTGGGGACAACAGAAGAAATGGAAGATGGAGGCGCAGGAGCCAGATCAGAGGTTGCCACGTTGGAAGAGGGTGCTGGTACAGGTTTTCACTTCTTTGATTCTTGACCCTTATTCTTCAGTTGATCACACGTCATTGGCAACTTTTGCTGTACACAGAGGACAGCCCAGCAGTGTTCAAGACCAAATCACTTATTTTTGTTCAAGGCTGAGAAAATCTTGTGAGCTATTTCAAGCTACCATCATATCAAAAACAAATCAATCAGATCCTTGACACTGTGCAAAACTCCAACATAAAACTTACCAAATCAAGCTGTACACAACCTGTGAAGTGGGAGGAAGTGGCTTGGTCAAATGCCGTGCAGAATTTGCTGACGTTGTGATGAATAACTGCCCAACACTGTTTGCAAGCGGATTGATTTCAAGCAGTTTTGGCTCCAGTGCTTTTGTTGAACTCCTCATTGAAGTGGCTATAGATTTGACCCCAGTAAGTGAATTTCTTCTGTGGATCTCCTGTTTCAGGATCGACTGATGTAGCTGCCCAAGCCTTGCAGAGAGGTACGTCTTTGGATGCAGTCCAGTTCTTGGCCTTGATTGGATGTTTTTCAGTTGGTGTGATTGATTCCAAGGTAGACCAATGACTGACTGAATTGGTGGATTCCAAAATGTATGGATCAAGGGCTGAATTGGTGGTGTCTGAAATAAGCCGAGTAAGAGGATATGTATCAAGGGGGAAAATCAAAGAAGCTTGAGATTGATCCATTTATGATATGTAGTGGGTGTAGCGCAGCGGATGAGAAATTGAGCAGAAAATTGAAAGCTTGTTGATGGAGATGGAGTGAAAGGTTTGATCCAGTATTGCTCATGTGATGCTCTGTATTGCTCATGTGATGCACTTCCACGTGATTTCAAGAGCCCTCCTAGTACTCGCAGATCTGGAGAGCCCGCCTCAAGATCTTGAGAGTCTCAATGACTGACCTCCGATTGTGCAAGGTCCAATGTGGTGATTTTTGGTCATTTGACTCCTCATATCATTGAGAGTGTGCACAATTGGGGGACCACTGTGGATGCTCTTAAGTTTGCTCTGCAACTCTGACTGTACAAATCAGAAAAGCTGGCACAATTTTGCCCGCAAACCTTGCTCGAGCCTTGGGCCGTTGGCGAGGGACTGTTAGGACTTGATGGGCTAGTCGAGATGAGAAGGGAAAGGTGATGCTGTTGTAATAACTAGATTGCAACGTAAGGAAAAAGCTCCATGCACGCATGCGCCAGCTAATAGCTAAAAGGTACAACGTGCTCTATAAGCATATGCTACTAAATAGACCATAACACCATTCCCCCTCTATACCTCCACTCCCTTTTGACGAGTTAGATATCTTTCCACGGGTTGGCATTAAAAACCCAGTGGGAAAAAAGCTCACCCTCTCTCTCATCTTCTCCTTGTCCTAAAGTACGTTTTTTCTGCTTGAGGATATTTGTTGTTAAACTCTTCCACCATTTCTTTT